GCCGTCCAGGTCTTGGCAAACTGCGTGCAGGTGTGGGAAAAATGTGACTCAGCTAAGCACAGGATTAGCCTCGCTGCACCCTCCCCTCCACCCCCCTCCACCCAAAGCTGCAACTCACGTTTGCTGCTGCTGGAGCTCTTCCTCCTCTTGCTGTTCCTCCTCCTCCCCCTCTTACTCATTCTTCAGCACAGACTCACATCAACTGCAGGAGACATCAAAATACAGAGGTTTCACCTTTAAACACTTGAACTGGATGTTTCACATGCTAAACTCACATCTGTCAGAGTGAATCTCATGTGGCCTCGTTTGCACTGAACTATGGGAAACACTTAATATGGAAGCAAACCCGTTGTTCTCTGTGTGGAGGGAAGGAACATGAGGAACACAAACACTGGGCTTCAGATAAACTGGAAATGAGTGTCAGCTTGTTTGGCAGAAATCTTTTCTCTGTGCATTCTGGGATATCTTACTTTACATGGAAGTGGAAACATCCCAGATACATCAATACAACAGCAACATCAATACTACAGCCACTACTAGTAATAATGATAATGGTTATAGTAATGACTAAATGCTGAATCAGCTCCTATGATCTGAAGGAATATCACAGGTAGTTTAAAGGTACATGACTGTGTGAACACACCCATCAAACACCTGAACCTGCACCTGTACCTGCACCTGTACCTGCTGCTGCCAACAGACTGAACCGATCCCTGATTAAGCTGCTGGTCAAAAGTAAAGGATTCATTCAGTCTGAATGAACTCTGGCTATAAATAGATAAACCTGGAAACAACTTAATGTCTAATAATTACAACGTTTACATGAATATATTTTAATGAGAAACATGAGAAAACAGATGATTTCCACATCACAAGCACAGACATTCAGTCTTAATACAAAACTGAAAGAGAAGCTGTAGAGATGCTTTCAGAAGAATAAAGAAGTTACTGTTATCTAATTACTTGTTAAAAAGCTTTGATTTGTGGGGTCACATGACCTGGTGAATCATAGTTTACCTTCAGAAACACAAATAAACAGCTGACTTACCTTTGGTGTGAAGTCCTGATATCAAAGCTGGAAGAGTCAGATCTGAGAAAGACCTGCGGACAGTATGTCTCTGTATGTGTCTGTATGTGTCTGTGTCTCTGTGTGTCTCTGTGTCTCTGTATGTCTCTGTATGTGTCTGTATGTGTCTGTGTCTCTGTATGTGTCTGTGTCTCTGTATGTCTCTGTATGTGTCTGTGTCTCTGTATGTCTCTGTATGTGATTGTGTCTCTGTGTGTCTCTGTGTCTCTGTATGTCTCTGTATGTGTCTGTGTCTCTGTGTGTCTCTGTGTGTCTGTATGTCTCTGTATGTGTCTGTGTCTCTGTATGTGTCTGTGTCTCTGTATGTCTCTGTATGTGTCTGTGTCTCTGTGTCTCTGTATGTCTCTGTATGTCTCTGTGTCTCTGTATGTCTCTGTGTGTCTGTATGTCTCTGTATGTCTCTGTATGTCTCTGTGTCTCTGTATGTCTCTGTGTGTCTGTATGTCTCTGTATGTGTCTGTGTCTCTGTATATCTCTGTGTGTCTGTATGTGTCTGTATCTGTGTCTGAGAGCAGCTGCTGCGTTTCCTCACTGTCCACATCGTCTGCTCCACTTCTTATTGTTTCTATTCTCAACGTAAAGCAGCTTATTACACCTAATCCCATGAGCCACTGGTGATGTCAGCTTGAAGCTCGTTGTCTGCTTATTCACTGGTGAATGAGACGACTCAGATAAAACCAGATCCTGGAGCCGTTTCAACAGGGTCCTGCAGATTTACATGCTAAATGACTGCACTTATACAGAGCTGTTATCAAAAGGTCCTGGAGGAGTGGCAGATTGCAGCCAATTACCTCCTGAACAGAGAGATCAATACGCTGCAGTTTTATTTCTACTTGAACTGACATGGTTGTACTTCTCTGATACTAGAATATGTGTGAAATATGTATGTGTGTGTGTATATATATATATATATATATACAAACATATATACATTTTTACACTTTTACATTTTAACATCTAAATGTTATTTTCACACAGGCAGTCTGTAGATCTGCACCTGACACAGCAGCTCCACATTACTGTCTCAATACATTATCTCATCACTTATATCAGATTGTGTTGTCTTGCTGTGTTCCCTGATCTCAGAATTAGAGGTCAAAACTATTAAAATATTAAACCATGGTTTTCCTTTAAAATTCCGCGACACGGTTCAAAGAAAATCCATCACATAAAGGAGGTAAAGATGACACCTCCATCAAGCCTCCATCGTCATCAGTGACAGATCCATCACTTCCATCATATATTAGACGCACAGTCAATAACTTCTGCCTCTAGGGGTCTCAATCGAAACAATAAGACAAGACAGCGTTGGGTGACGTCATGAAATAGTGTGGGATCATGGGGGTTGTTGTCTTCACCACCATTACCGTAAGCTCCTCCCGGTTTGGATTCCTTCAGTGTCAGTGGTTCAGGAAATCAAACAGACCTGGTGATTATAACGGTTGAAAACACTGAATGAAGCAGTTTGACATTTAAAGTCAGAGTCTGAGCGACGCTGTACGGAGGACAGAGACTCAGGGAAAAGTTGGAGCTGAGCTGTCTAACATTTCCTCAGCTTGTTTCTCTGATAACTTCAGATCCAGACGTCTGACGACTAAAATCCTTCGTCTGGTTCAAATATAGAGCTGAAAACCACCAAGGTGTAAAAAGTGTATGTGGCTTAAAACTAGATAAAAGCACATAGAGGATATGATGTCATTGACAGAGGACCAAATGACTTTACCGCAGAAATAAACATGTTCACAGCCTGGTACAAAAACAGTTTTGGTCTCTAGAGCTAATTTCCTCCTTCATGACAACTGTTCTGGGGAGAATCTTTATATAACTCACCCATTTACATTTTATTGTGGATTAAAGTTCTGCATAATTTAGGGAATGGCTGCTTTGAGTGACTGGTGGGTAGTTCACTAGCTAATTAGCCAGGAAATGAATTACCTTTGGGTTAGCTAACAGTGCTAACGGGAGCTATGCTTGTCACAGTCTGGCATCATGCACCTTGATGAAGTCTCAGCTCCACACACGCCTCGCCTCTTTGTCCATTTTTGGATTGGCTGGAAGTTAGGCGGAGCCAGACACTGCCAAGGTGGTGACAGAGTAGCGGCTTCAAAAACTGCTCTTCAGAAACCTGTGGATGACGTTACGGAGACTACATCCATCTTTATTTACAGTTTATGGTCTGAAGAAGCATACTGGTTGTTGTTACCAGATGTCTTAAGAAAAATCATCAGTCATCCAACCTCTGGTCTGACACAAAAACCTCTGGGACACTGTGATGCTTTGCAGACACTTTATTACACAAATAACATAGTTACTGAAAATAGTACTCTTGCAGCAAAACCAGTGTGTTACAATAAATATCAGATAGCCCACAAGTGACTGCAACATCAGGAATGCATTTCTCTGGCATGCTGTTGAGGAAATCATTCATTCAAACTTTATGGCAAACTGACGGATGAAGGATGAAAAGAGCTGGGAATGAAGGAGTGAGCAGATGAAATGAAACCTGAGAATACAGACTGAAACTGAATGTTCTGAATGGACAAACAACACATCTGTGTTTCTCTGTGTGTGACTGTTTATGAGGCGTGTGCTGGGAATTAGCTTCTATTGATGGTTATTAGTTGTTGCATTGTTATTCGGGCGACTCGTGATTGTTGACACCAGATTTCACTGAATAACTTACTTTGATATTTCCAACCATATTCTCAGTTTTCCATTCGTTCTACTCATAAATGAGTCATTTATACAATCACAAATGATCGATTATTAATTTATCATTTGAAGTTAAGTCTGAAGCAGTGGACAGAAAAGGAGAGCGTGAACTGAGGAATGTTAGATTCTGGTGGAAACTATTCAGACTGAACTGAATATTGACAATATTGATTTTTGTTATCCAGATAAGTGGTAAAGAATCCTAATCCTAGCCCTTTTATACTGTGCAAGTCCTGACATTGAGTCTAATCCTACATCATTACTGTCCTACGTGATACAGTCACTGCAGCGTAAATCAATAAATGAGCCCAGTGGAATGTTTTCATTAAACTGGATTCTGCTGCGGATCCATTCAAAATATGAAGACAAACATTTAAAGGACAATTCCAGCGGTTTAGGCTCTGGGGAATATATGTGGGTATTTATAAATGTTTTCTGAAATTTTATAGATGAGCTGATTGATCAAGTGATCAAGAAACCAGCTGCCAAATTAATCAATAATGGGATAATTGGTAGTTGCAGACCTGTAATGTTAGGTGATGCAGTGCAGACCAAGTATCAGCCTCGGGCTGAAAAATGAAGCCAACACTGAAGAACCAAAAACTGCAGTTCCTCTAATGGCCGCTAGAGTCTGTCTCCAACAGTGAGTCAGTCCCCATAGACTCCCATGTTAAAATGTCCAACTTTACAGCAGAAATAAACATGTTTACAGCCTGGTACAGAAACTGTTTTATTAAGCCTTAAAGTTATGTACAATTGAGGGCGTGGCCTCTTTGAGTGTATGCTAGCCATAAACCAGCATACACCAAAGTCTCGGCTCCACACATGTCCCTCCTCTTTGCCCAATTTAGGATTAACTGGGAGTTAGGGGCGGAGTCAGTCACTGCCAAGATGGTGACGGTGGAGCAGCTCACTCGACTAAAGTAGAACATGTGTTTCAAATGGAGAGCAGAAATATAAAGTACAGTACGTTCTGTAGGAGCTAAAACAGACGGACTGCTCCTTTAAGTTACATGTCAGATGTTCATTTCTCAGTTCACGCTGTTTCTTCAGTTGTAGTTTGATTATCAACAGTGACAGTGCTGAGACTTGGCTGTTAACAATGTTTGATTGGCACCGCACACACAATCACAATCTCTCTCTCACACACACACACGAACACACACGCACGCACGCACATGCACGCACATGCATGCACACACACACACACACACACACACACACACACACACACACACACACACACTTTTGTCTTTGTGAGGACACTCATTAACATAGTGCATTCCATAGCCCCTTACCCTGATCTAAACCTGATTCAAACCTGAAGACCGGACAGTGTCCTCACTGGTTCAGGTCTACGACTCAAAGTGGTCCTCACAGCGACAGAATTACAAGTCCACACACACAAACATAAATATAGATATATATCTATTAATATCTTGAATGGAAGAGAGATCAGTGTAGTAGAAGCTCTACTAGCAGCAGCAGCTGTTTTCATCCCGTGATACATGTTGTAATGGCAGGTGCTGAAGAAAGGCAGAATACACACATGAAAAGGCACAAAATTACAATGAAATGTCACCGATGTAAATCATGAGCAGTTCAGCTTCAGTTACGCTGTGAACAGCTTCACTACATGGAAGAGGTTCATGCAGGGAGGGATGCATTTCTCCGGGTAAACTCAGCTGTATATTCATCAGTGCTGTTAAACTGTGTGTTTTCAAAATCATCATAAAATATCAAAGTTCTGTAACTGATTCTGCTCAACTGAGTCTCACTCACATGTTTACATGTCATTAAAACACAAGTCCAGACTCAGACACAGAGCAATAAAATAAACAGTAGACTACTAAACAGGTGACAACAGCAGTTTCCTGTTTTTCCTCAGGGCCCTGTTTTAATGGAGCAAACACAGTGACCAGCACAGAGGCTGCGGCCCTAATAAACACAGACCAGAACCAGAGACGTGTGGGCGTCTCCACCTGCTGCTCTCGTTCATGGATGTGCAGCAGCTCCAAGTGTAGAGGAGCTGATGGAGGTGAACAGAGATCAGAGGAGGTGTTGCTTCATAAATACACTAAATAATATAATAACTACTGTCTCATGTGTGGTCACATCATATCATATGAAATGACACTTAAACTAAAAACCTGGAGAGGAGCTGATGCACAGATTCATGGGCTGCTGACATCTGATCAGTCTGATGTAGGTGGAGGTGAGTGGTTTGTTCTGTAGCAGCCTGTAATCAAGGTAAACACAGTGAATGGCCAGGTGTGATGGCACCATGCTCTGGTTTGGCACAGTCAGAGGCTGCAGGGGTTTTAATGGTTTAATGAAGCTGCTCTTAAACTCATCAACATGCACCAATGAAGAGTGTTTCATTAAAACATTCTCTCCAAGCTTTTAGTTAGCTCCTGTTGACAAAATCTACAAACTGACAGCGGTGCGACGTTGCTCCAGAGATGTGGTTCTGAGACAAGAACTCAGCTCTGAAGACCCAACTTCTCCCAAAATACCAGGGTTTCTCTTTGTGAGCCCACCTGTGTGCACCCCTCTCTCACCAATGTCACGGTCAGGAAGCTGTCAGTGTGCTGGTCACAGCTCCACCATGAAAACAGAACCCTTAATGTTTTCAAACAGGTCACTGTCAGTGTGAATGAATGAGGACGTGAACTGACCATGAAACACATTTCAGTCGTAGAAATTCTCCTTCTAAAAAAGTCATTCAGTGAAGTTTGGTACATTTCCTTATGAATTCAAAATAAAAGTTCAGTCACCAGCTCAGACGTGTTTTCACCTGTTTCCATAAAAAAACAAAAAAAAACTCATTTCAGGAATTTAGACAAAGTTCCTGAAACAAGGGAAACTCCAGGATAAACTGATCTGAGCCCATCAGCAGGTTCTTCTTGTTTTAAGGCTAAATCTTTGTCCCTGTGGATTGTGCTGATCATAATTATAATAATTCCACTAATGCTGTTTGATTTGGGGAAACAAATCTTTGACACTCTTATGTGTGAATGTGTCACCGAGGCTGTATCAAGACCTCGGCTAAATTAAATAAAGATTAAATAAACGGCCTAAATTATACCAAATTATTTTATATACAGTATATATTTAAATATATAAACAATAAGATTGGCAGCTAACACAACAGTTACACACTTGATGAATAACATACATCTTGGCAATGTAAGCAGAAGGTGGCTGGGCCCAGAGCGTCTAGGAGGAGGACTGAGGAGGCGGCAGAGCAGAGTACTCCTCGTTCTCAGAGTCACTGCTGTCCTCGTCGTTCCTCTCTTGGTCGCTGCCTTCAGTGCTCAGCTGGTCGAAACCCTGACGACTGTAACCCTTATGGGACGCAAAGAAGTTCCCCAGATTCAGAGTGCCCACCGCTTTACCTGAGCAGAGGAGGAAACAACACGTCACTGACAAGATGATGTCTACAGACCGATGTGTCCTTCTCAACAGGGACTCAAGAACACATACCTTCAATTTTTTAAGTTTTTCTTAACTAAAAGAACGTTAGTATTATAAGCAAAATATACTTAGAGTATTAAAAGTTTTTTAAGCTGTCAGGAGTGACGGTTTCAGCAAATAGGACAAAAAGCGTTCCCTCTGAACCTTTCAAGAATGGGATTGGGACTGAAAAATTGGCCTGGGACCAGTTATCCCTAGTTTCAGATTGCAGAGTGAATCATGTTACAAGCTTCACCGGCTGTCAAAGAAATGGAAATGTTCATGTAACTCAAATGTGTGAGCACAGTAGCTGAGAAAATCTATTTGGTAGTTATCAGTGGATGTTGTACTAACAGGTGTAGCCTGCTGGATGACTGCACAAGCACAGGCTGTTCTTGTTCAGAGCTACTCTCTGTCTGTCTGCATGTACTGTCAATGTTCAGTAACACTGATATCATCCTGTAAAATTCAGATCCACTGGTGTGTAGAGAAACCATGTTTGTTTGGAGATTGAGGTCATAGAATACTACATAGTACAGGTCAGAGAATCGGTTAAGGGACACCTGCACAAGTGAAAATACAATGGGTAAAAATTATTTTAGTGTCAGAAATGACTTACCTCGTATTTTTCCCAAGATCCCTCCCACAGAACTGGGTTCAGTTTTCACCTCACATCGGTCTGAAAATATACAATATTCAGAATATTTAGCTGAACACTGACCAGATGTTATAAAAGACAACAGAGCAGAGTGAACTGGTTTCAGGGTTCATTCCTATTTTCAGGAAAAGCTTTGTATTTAGAGTAAAAGCTAAAAGGTAAACATGTTTTACATTAATGTCTATGCTTCATTGTATCATCTGATCTGTGTAAGAAAGATGTGAGCACACCGACCTTTCTCCTTCTCTCTATCGGCTTCCTTTATGTCGTTGATCTTGGTGTTGTGTCTCTCCTCCCTCCCTCCCTCTCTCCCTTTCCTTTTCTTTCCCTGCTCTCTCTCTTCTTTTTCCTGCTCTGAGCAAATATCTTCTAACTCAAGAGCTTCCTCAATCGTAGAGCTATAAAAGCTTTAGAGATGTTTCTCTCCAAGTCAAACCCTTCCGGCTCCTCTGTCACATAAACTCGTCCTGATTGGTCCTGTAGACGAAAACTGTGCAGGCCATATCCTCAGATACCACCTACTATCAAAACTGATTTACAAGCACCAAACGCACATTAAGGAGCGCTTCTTGAATAACTTCATTGTTTGGGGACAAAATCCACTGATTTATATATAAAATGTGTCCTGCCATATGGAGGTCTGTGGCCCGGTCTATTGACGGACCCTCTTCAGTACAGCATCTAACTTTCATACATACTGTTCCTCCTCCAGCAGATGAAGACTCCTATGGAGATGACCAGCACCAGAGGGATGAGCAGCAGTGTGGTGATGATGGCTGGAAGTACACCGCCCCCCCTGTTGGGCTTCGCTGCACTCTTCTTCTTCTCGTCCTCCTCCTCCTCTTTCTGTTTCTGTGGTTGAGGCAGTTGAGCCACAGTTTGCTTCTCTTGGACGGCTGCGGGCGTCGACATGTTGTGTTCAGGCCTCAGCTTCGTTTGGATGATCGTCTCCATTTCTACACAGAGAGAAATGTTTTAAAAGGGTGACGAGCCTCTGATATAATGGCCTGTACGTTAAACATTGTGCGCATGTGTTTTGATGTGTCTCATATTCCACTGTTGTGTGTGTGTGCGTTTCTTTGTCAGCAGCATCAGGCAACAACCTCAGCATCAGGAAGTACATATACTGACATGATGAACACAGGCTGAAACTCTGAACACTCACCTTCAAGCTCTTGAACCTCGATTCCCGCTTTCTTTACAGAACGATGAGACTCTGGAAAATTAAGAAGGAAAAAAATTATAATTCCAGTAAATATCTTTAAATGCAGTGGTGGACAGAGTTTAATAAAACTCTTTAACACAAGTTAAATTACAGGTAGGCAGTTAAACGTCTTCAAACACTGAAGAAAACAGTGGATCTGTTTGACCTCATGCACACACACAAGTTAAGATGGAGAACGTCCGGTCTGATCTTACTCTCAGTGGTGAACTTGAAGACGGATTTACTGCCTGCATCTCCGACAAACACGCTGCCATCCCTGGTTTCCACGATGTCATGAGGCATTTTAAACTCCTGCAGATGAAGGAAAACACAGATTAAAGGCCGGTGTCATCGCAGTCCAGTTCATGTAGCGGTCTGGAGCAAGACAAACCAACTTACTGTAACCAGGTTAACTCTGACCTGTGTTTGCATCAGCAGTCTCTAATTCATATAGTAGATACATGTAATTAATCTGCTTTAGGTGTATCTGGATCACACAGACTGGAACACTGAAACCAAACCTGGACAGGTACGTCTCTCCTGCTACTCAGGTAACAGAATGACACAAATGTCACAAAGGTTTCTGCGAGTTGTGGACGACCACCAGAGACAGGATGTAATAACTGGACATCTGTCACATGTACGTGAAGGAGGTCGAGACCTCGTACCAACAACTACGTCAAAACAGCCGCAAAAATGATGAATGAGTCGTGGCTCCACAAGTTGTCTTTAATCATACACAGCCTACACCACAGAATACATAGGACTGAATGAGTGAGGTGAGAGGGTATGTGTGTGTGTGTGTGTGTGTTTACCTTCTTGTTTGGCTTGAACGTATCCAAAATGTCCTTTGTTGAGTAATTTATAACAAACCCTCTGAGTGGCGCTGAGTGATACGGAGATTCTCCATTTACTGCAAAGATCAAGCCTTCTACACACACACACACACGCACACACGCACACACACGCACACACACGCACACACACGCGCACACACACGCGCACACACGCGCATTAACATGACATTAAAACCTTGTGGGAAGCCAGGTGCCTTCAGTGTTCAGGCGGCTGCAGTTGCAGCACAGCACATTTCTTTTCTTTTCAACTCCTGGCAACATGGTGGCCCTTGTTTTCTATTCTCAGTCATACAGAAATGTAATATTTAACATATATGTCCCTGTATTAAGAGTGATGTTGCCATATATGTCACCTATAAGAGGATATATGATTATCACATATATACATCCTCTGGATAAAAGGAGATATACTGTAAGTTCATAACATAGATGACATAGCTGTAGTAAAATTTGTACATGTACATTCATTAAAAATGTCTATTATACATTTTTATATGATGTTATCAATATATATTTAATTTATTTATGCAAGTTCATTAAAAAGATGTACATATAAAAAAATCTATCTGCTCACAAATGTTTTTCCTATGAATTTCTCATTCATTGTAATGTCCACTTGTTCCATGAAGGTCCTGACCAGCTCAGTCCTTCACTCACCTCCAGCAGGGCTGTAGGTGATGGCAAACACCTCCCCTCCAAACTCTTCCTTCTTTATTTCCTTGACGAACTCTCCAGTCTCAGCGATGAAGCACTGGATACGTCCGTTCTCCCTGTCAGCTACACACACCTCCCGTCTGTCAGGGAGGAACACCAGGCTGTGGGGGACCTGGAACGGTACCCGCCTCCTCCTGTCTGACGAGCCTGCAGCCAGAGACATGAGACCAGAGAGCTGAGGGTGTGTCCAGCGGTGTGTAAACCTACTGAAATATATAAATATATATACACATAGTACAACAGAGGCTTACGGTGTCATGTTACGTAAGAAGCTGAACCAGTTTTTCAGATTCACGGCTAAAGAAGGTCAAATTAAATTCAAACAGGACGACTCCAACTAAACATCTCACTGCTCGGTCAGGTTTTATCAGTCGGATTCACCAAACTCTCTCTAACCCTGTGTAAGGTTTCCTGTTTTGCTCCATTTGTGGGAAAGTTTGATTCACTATATGAGCTGAGTCCCATTTCAGGGGCTTCATCCTGCAGACCACGTCCCAGTGGTGCGACTAGACTGTCCAATTTCAAAGGCTCCTTCAAATGCGTCCTTATTTTATTAGACAGCAAAGGCTCCAATATGTGGATCCTTCAGGGTCCAATCAATCCCAAGATTCATTGTGTGCTGATAATGAAAATATTTTGGCAGCAAACAACACTGACAGAGAGCCTGAGGATTACACTGTTAAGTGTAAGTTTTGGGTTTCAGCTCAGTTCAACACGGTACAGCTGTTAAAACCACGGGCCTTAAAACCTCAAGTTTTTGTGGAAAAAATTTTGTGTCGTCAAAGTTGCTAGGCGACAGGAGCTGCGCTCTCTGATGCAATGGTAAGGGCGGGAACAGCTGCCGCAAATCATAAATCCGAAGAACCCCACCTTCGTAGGCCGCGTCCTCCTAAGGATGTGGCCCCTAAATTGGGACACAGCTGTTGTTTCCCAGGAGCAAAACTAAAACCATCCATCACAGAGCTGTGACATGATTTGACATGAAGTTGCCAAAAAAAAAAACCCATCTAAAGTAAAGGGATGAAGATGACAGGAGCTCAGCAGTCATCTGGAAGGACAGGGGAACACAGGTGATGGAGGCTGTTCACCTGGACAGAGATCTGCATAAAGACCATGAGACAGCTGCTGGACTGACAACGCTTTCTAACGACTAACAAACTGCAGAAAGCGTCACGGTTAAACAGTCATGACAAAGAAACGAAAGGAACGGAACAACGAAAGAAATCTAACAAATAAACAACGAAACAAACAAAAAAATCATCACAGCTCTCAGTGAATCAGCTGCCACGATGACTCATCATCATAATGATCTGGTGCAGGTGCAGGTATTCTGACCTAAAAATGTAATTATTCCACATTCATTCGCATCAAAGTTCTATGTTTATGAAACTGTAGAGAAACGTAGCGTCTATATGACTTGGACCAGTGTTACTGTCAGTTGTCAGAATGTTAAATTCATTCTGATTTTAGGACCCAAGCCGCTGCGGTGAGGAGTGAGCCCAAAGGTGCGTCCCGATTTTCATATTATTCTACATCCTGTTCATGTTCCCATGAGTCAGTGTGTCTGTTACATTCACCGACTCATTAGTGGGTGTGTTAAAAACAGATGCAGAAAGAGGAAACGTGGACATAAACACAGATATAACACTTGTAACACAACAGAAGAAATTTGGATCATTTACATTTGAGGGAGGTGAAACTGTAATTGTTCATTCTGTTAGCACACGACTGAACCAGGAGCCTTGGTCTAACAAGACCTGCTTTACAATATGCAGGTGTGTGTGTATGGGCTTGTTTTACTATATTAATGGGTTCCAAAAACTGGGAGCCCACTTTACTTACGGGGTCCACCGGCTTTGTGGGGACCAAAATGCTGGAGCCCGTAAGTGTAAATGTCCATTTGAGATGTGGTTTAAGGGTTAGGTCGGGGTCAGGTTTTCAGTGGTGATGGGTAAGAGGCTGAAGATTGCATTATGTCAATAACTGGTCCCCAAAAACATGCTAAAAGAAAGAGGTGTGTGAGGAGTCCGGTTCCTACCTGCTCCCCACTCAGACAGGTACCGGCCCCCAGCAGAGAACCTGAGGATCCTGGCGTTGCAGTATCCGTCAGACACAAATATGTCTCCGGTCTCTGGGTCCACGGCCACGTCAGTGGGCTGGCAGAAGTGTCTACTGTCACTTCCTGGTGTGAAGGCCTCTCCCAGAGCCAGCAGGGTACTGTCTCTACCGTCGTTGCTCACCTTTAACACCTGGTGAGAGCACAGAGGGGGAGGGGCTCTTCACTGGTCCTGTTGTATCAAACCTGAGTCTGTTCTGAATACTGAAGCATTAGAACTGACTGACAAATGATTATTTAAACGGTTTATAATGACTGATGATGTTGTTACTTCATCATTAGCTCATCAACATTATGAACTGTTGAAGATATATTGTTCTTTATGACACTGATCAGAGTTTCCACTGCCTAACCCCACCCCTAATAATATCTAACACCTGATGATGAACGCCTGTGACTTTCATGGTGACAAATGAAGACAGGTTTAAACACAGTTACAGGATGTACTAAACATGCTACAATGTAAATATGTTTTTGTAATTCATTGCTCACTTACTTTATGAGTTTCCATTATCAATAAACTGATAGTGTGATCAATAATGTGTGGATAGAGTATCTTACCTGATGAAGAGCCACGTCAGTGACCCAGTAATTATTCTCCTTGTCTGTAGTTATTCCATGAGGCAAATAAAACCTGAAACATCACAGACATGAATCATGACATGACAGTTGTCACTCTTGTCTGTGATACAACGTCACACTCATCTCTGTCATCACACTGTCACTCACATGTTTCTGCCTGAAGCCTTCAGGATGTTGCCTTTAGCCGGATCCACAACCAGAATGGTGGACTGCTGGATGGGACCCAGAGACCTCTGCTGGTACCTGGCCTGGTTGTTAAAGGAGCTGAAGAACAAAGAAAACAGCTGATTTTATAAGTGAATCCACAGGGAGAGAAAGAAGTGATTTTTGTCTACGTTTGGAGGATTTACATTCATGACTTTTGTAAAGGCTAAAAGCCTGTTATTGAATCATGAGAACATTTCAGAGCGATAGAAACAAAGAGCGTTGCCGTAACCACAGTAACTCACTCACACACCTGACTGCATGTTCACAGCACAAGGGAATCATGGCATCATGGGACAAAAAATACAATAACAGATTGTGGATGTTTCTCTCTTTGCCCAGATGTCTGAAGAACTCTCTGCTACTGTGTCTTGTCTGTCAGTGTCTTATCACACAGCAGCGTTATCAGTTATGAATTAGTTTTTCACGCTCCGCTCTCTAGCTGTATTTTCGTTTCTCTAATTGAAATGTCCAGGTGGTATCTGGACATTTCTAGTTCGCCATGGAAACACAGCTCAGTAAATACTCATAAGATGTTAATGATGCTGAGCTAACTCAGAAATGAACTTTAGAAAAGTCACCACAGAGCAAAACAATATGACTGAATGTCAGATGCTGCTGTTCACACCATTAGAGACTACGTGCCTGATGCTTCTGATGATGTGTGACAACTGATATCAGTAACCTATAGAGCTCGTCCTTAACATTGGTTTGGTCTAGAAATGACCTCCTGTTTGTAGTTTACAGAATTACTCACCAAGACCCAACAACAAGATAGGCTATTAGGTTTACTAGGAGATTTAAAAAATACAAGCGTGATGTGTATGATGATATGATTTAACGCCTGGATAGAAGCTGCTGCTAACTGCTCTGCCATCACCTGCCAAAGCCAATGGGAGAGGGAGAATGGTTCAGTAACATGTATGTGCTTCACTTAACTAAGACTGTGTTTGTTTGTTAGCAAAGTGAGGTTTGATTTTTATTGTCACAGTTTGACTGCAACAATAAGATCTTACTATTGTGAGATTGTCACACCTTGACTACGAGCAACTCACATGACATTTAAAACAATATACATTCATATTGTTCAGTTTGATGGACTGACGGCAGTCCTGCACCCACAGACAGGTGGTGTAACTCACTTGGTCCCCCAGTGGTGGTCTCCTCTGTGGAAAATGACCAGGTTAGAATCTGAGTCCAGGGCAAGTCCTGATACCTGACCCAGCTGCAGAGAACTCTGTGGCCACCCCGACACTGGCTCCAGATGGTAGTCTACAACACACACACACACATACACACACACACACACACACACACACACACATACACACACACACACACACACACACTTAACAAAAAGGCTTCACAGAGATGCGTCTTCTTCTCTCAGTTAATTACTGTGATACACAGACACCCACACAATGTTGAAATGAGTTAACATGCAAACACACACGTCAATCACAACAACAACATGTTGCTTCTTGCAGACTGAACTACACTGAACTCCTCGTAAATCCAAACAGTGGACCTGGATTCTGCTGCTGGAGTTTTATCACAGTTTGCTCTTTAAGCTCAGAGAACAGGTTATACTTGTAAATAACTCATTCCTATGATGTGTTCTTCCATCTCATTACAAAGCTAAAAGCTTTACAGTTGTGCCAAACAGCTACACTAAAAAGCGGGAGAGGGGTGAGATGTGATAATCTCCCACAATCCACCAGAAAGGTGCCAGAAATATATGAGTAACCCTTCATGTCCACAGGATCTGGACGTGTTGGTTTCCCTCACTGCTTTAAAGTGGACAGGAAACATTTGTTGTACAGCAGACTGAACGTTCCAGCTCCTTCAGATGCTCTGTGACTGACTATGACAGAGACTTGTGTTGACAGAGATTGGTGCACGTGTGGAACATTTCCTCCAAGTGAAGTATAAGTGAAAATATCTACACATCTGTGATGTCCAGAGTTGTCCGTGTACGCATTCACAAGTCAGTTTAACTGAGGCCTAATGAGATGGATCAGCTGATCAGTGCAGCACTGGCAGTGATGTGGGACTGACTACTGTCCTGACAACCTTAAGCCTTCATCAGGTCCTCTATACCACGGGTCTCCAATCTCCACCTCTCTACTATTTTGACAGAATCCAAGTGTCTGAGAGCTCCTCATGTTCTTGTATTTACCGGTTACATTTATTTGTATCAATATCGTATCAAAAACTCCAGCTGATCTCCAAACCAAACCAGATCAATAAGATCATTTAACAATCATCAAATATCAACATCCAAAAACATGTGAACTCACATTCAGACAAAAACCAGAGTCCAGACCTGAACAGACATGAAAACACCACTGTAAATAAACCTCCATACATCTGACTAGAAGATTCTGTCTGTGTGTTTGGAGCAGATTTACTGAGTGCAGTTTTGTTGCTTAAAGTTTTGAACTACACATCCATGGTTTGTACGAGCTATATTTCTCTGAACCTTTGGGTGAGCTACTGGGAGAGCTCTGATCTCATGTTATCCTGACAGGTTTCTGAGGGAGATTCTAAACAGTGTCAGTCCCACAGTTTATCCTCTTGTAAACTGCTCTGTGATGTTTCCTGATATCTTAAATTTTAATTATCTGAATACACAGCTGTTCCTCATTAACCTGTATTAATTGATGATTTTGTCAGACAAAGACACCGTTTATATAACATCGATCACCATTGAAACAGTTTATGTTGTCAGCCAAACACCATGACGACGGCTGGTTAACCTGCAGCGTTCATTGAGCCACGACTCAGTCACTACTTCATACCTGTTCTGTTGTGGCAACAGAAGCAGAAGACTATGATGTCAGCTGCATTAAAACACAGTACAGCAGGAGGAGAGAACAGCCCGTCACTCAGCAGAACTGGCTCTGTGACAGCAGAAAACAACCTTCAGTTGTCTCTAACCTCCTCCGTGACCACTCATGTTAAATGTTCATGTAGTTAGTGATCCAGCTCAGCTGCTGTCATTAATAAAGTAACCTTTATTAATGTGTCATTAATAAAGGTAACCTTTATTAATGCGGATTTTCATTAGATGAACGTCTGGACCACAAAATAAAGATAAGGTGATGTGCTGTTCTGTGCTCTTCACCAGTTGGCTCTAATGTAGTTTTACCAACTGAAGAGGATGAACCAGAAGAAATGGACTCAGGTCAGCAGTCAGTGTGTCACTGTGTGATCTAAAGTCCATACAGGACGCACATACCAGGAAATCTCATGGTGACTAAAAAATATTTAAGACTGGTCAAATCTGAATTTAAGAAAATTTAGACTTTTAAAGACTTGAGGCCTTTTATAAGTAAATTAAGATATTTCAAGGACCTGTGACAGTGCAGGATTTAAACTTTGGAGCAACAATGACAATGTTTTTATGAGAAAGAAAATACATGGCATGTCTGTTAGACTTCAGGAATACACCTGATTTGTTTTGGTGAGGAACACTGAAACCTCCTTTAAAACAAACAAACCTTCTACACTGAAGCCAAAACAAACGAGGCCTTTGGCTGTTTCCAAGGGGAAGATGAATGAGATATCAGACAGGAGCCTCTGAGCCTCTCTTCTGATTGGCTGACTGTTTCTTCAGTGCTCTAATATATAATATAGCAGATGTCAGGCAAATGGCATTTGGATGGTGGGTCCAGGTGGGCGGGGCTTGGGGCGTGGCTGAGAGCAGTGACTGCTTTTGTTGTGACATCACAAATTCCAGAAGTCCTGACGCTGGTTTTTAGGCTCAGTTTCTTGAATTCAGGCTGTGTGCATTTCTCTGTGGACTGAGGCTTTGACACTTTCACAGTGTTAATAATAGAACCTAGACCTGCTTTATAATTAAATAGCCATCTACCTTTAGACTTGATGGGACTTTTAAAAAAAATGCACCAGGCTGAATGGTGGGGCTGGTTTGAGTGAATGTCAGTGAGTGGAAGGGATAGGAGACAGAAATGAGGAGGAAACACAGGATGCTACAGCCAGGGAGGAAAAGACTCATGAAACAATAAGGTTCACATACTAATCCATTCAGGCATTTTTCATTGATTTTAATTTCATCAATAAAAAAAGTCTGAACATGCATTGAAAAGTTGAAGGTGTGTCCAACAATACGTCCAGTATGTACGTTACATACTGGACCACGCAAAGAAAAAATTTATGTTTTCAGCACCAATGACAAAAAATAACAAAAAAAAAAAAAACAAAAAAAAACACCAGGACCCACCTTGTCCTGTAGCTAGCAGCTTGGCTTCCTGGGGACTTGGCTGTGGCCTCAAGCTGATGGAATTTGTGGACTTCTCCCTCACCAAAACAGGGTCCTCCTGGTCTGGAAGGCTAGTGTGGCACTGGAGCGCCAGGTCTGTCTTTTGCATTAAGCTATCAATCTGAGCCACCAGCTCAGCCTGGGCTTCTGCATCTCGCTGGGGTTGTACTTATGAATGTGAGCTATGTCTTTTACTCTGGCCTAGCAGCTTGGACATGAGAGAATAGAGGTCACCTGTACAGACAGACAGAAGGACAGGAAAGGAGGAACAGAGGACAAGGAGGTGTGTAGGCTGGAGGTAAAGTCCTGACTACACAGGGAAAATGCAGTAGTGTAGTTAAGAGGACTGACGGAGAAATCATGACAGAGCATGAGAGAGGGGCCATGAAGAGCTGGCTCCAAAGAGGGACAGTTGTTAGCTCATAGCGTCGACTCAACAGGCTGAAAACTCTCGATTCCTGCATGAGCTGAGACACGCAAACACAATGAGGATGTAGGTAAAGGGCTGGACAGAGCTTAGCAGAGTAGGGAGAGGGAGGGTGGGAGGAGCAGAGACGCCGGCCTGGAGCACAGATCAGTTGTCTGAAGAGGATGATAGACTGGAAGTCAGCAGACGCACGATCAAGAGTTGTTGATTTGAAGGTAAATCTCAAAGATCTGAATTATGGCATCAGCTCCGTAAAGTTTGTGCAATAGCACCTCGACACTCCACAACGCTAAACCAACCGACCAATCCACGACACACTAAGATTCTTCTGGTTTGGTCGACTGTTAGGGAGCAGCCCTACACATGAGACTTCGTTTCTATAATGTCTCGACCTCTCTGTGCATGCATGCGACCATTTTTGCTTCATTAAAGTTTTTGTGCAAATTCATTTTAAAAATCAAAAACTGAAATCTCTCATTAACAAAAGTCTTCAGACCTTTAATCCAGTTCTTTTGTAGACCCCCTCTTCAAACTCTGAACCTGGATCTGGTCCATCTTCCTGACGGATTCTCTCAGACTCAGACTGGACAGGAAGTTGTGAACGTCCTTTTCAGGTTCTTCCACAGGTTGTCTATGGTCTGGTTTTGGCTGGGACACTCAGGGACAGTCACTGTGGGAGCTGAAAGGTGGACCATCACCCCTGTTTGGGTTCCCAGTCTCTGGATCAGGCTCTTTCTTCAAGGACCCCTCTGTATTTGGCTTGCATTTCACCATCTCTCAGTTCTGACCAGTTCTCTCCCTTGTCCGTTGCTGCTTAGAAGACCCCCACATCATGAATTGCTGGCCCCCCATGCTTTCACTGTAGGGGTGGTGTTACCCAAGTGATGAGAGTAACCTGGTGTTCAGCAGACATCCTGTTTGGAGTTTCAGAGAGTCTTGTTCCTCCTGCTCTCAAGAGTCTTTAAATTCTGTCAGTCAGACTCTGTCTTCTTGTCTCGTCTCTCCCAGAGGACTTCTGAAGCTCTATTAGAGAGGCCACTGGGTTCTTGGTCACTGACCAAGACCCTTCTTGCCCAGTCACTCCTTTCACTTGGCAAGTCACTCATTCTTCACCTGAAAGGAGTAATCTACTATATTTCTTGTAAGTACAAAAAGTCTCTAATCGCCAAATCTCATTCCTAAAGGCCGTGTTCAGAACCGACAAGCCACCATTAATTTTAAGTGGAGCCAGTCTGGACTCCCGAAAAATGTTGAACCAGGACCAACTTTTGCTGCAGATGCGGCATCGTCCAGCAAGACAGCAGTGAACCAATCATTTGAGAG